ATAATTTTCACCATATGGGGTGTGAGTGTGGGCCTTGTCAGACCTTGCACCAATAGACAACTCCAGCCAAAACCCACCTACATTAAAACATAATATACCTCAAAACTACACAGACCACTTCCTGGTCTGTTACACCAATCAGTTGTGTTCAGCCTCTATCACTAATGGCCCCGGGGCTGGACACAGAATGAGGTGTCGGGAAAATCACCCTTGCTGTGGAAAACGTTGCCCCGTGCACATTAGAATTCACTTTCACAATTTCAACTGTCAAAAATCCAGACTGACATGGTAAGTAGTTGAATCTGACATCCTAGAAAATACTGCTATAAAACATGCATGAATGCAGTGCTAAGATCATTTTAAGGTAAAACAAAATGCAGCACAGTCTCACCTATCAGAACTAGCATATAAGCAAATATTAACAGCTCATAATGGAAGTTAAACAAAATTTTTTGTTCCATCATGACAACACTTGGACATTAAAATGGATACTGTATGTAGGATATTAAGTATCAATCAGGATTAAATTATATTCATAAACATAGCACATTATTACAATTCTCAACCAACAGTTTCTGTTTTACATGATCAATATCTCTCAATACATCTATAATTTTATTTCAATTGAATGGATAGAAAAGATGGGAAAACTTACATACAGACTGCAGTAATCCAACTACACAAAAATGGGTTCTACTCCCTTTTATAAACGGTGGACAGTAGATTTATTTTATATAATATTACAGTAATTAATATCCGTTCATCAAAAATATTCGTTCAAATATTTTAGTCGGTCAGGAATCTGAAAGGGGTCAATTGATTTGATGATTGTAAATGCTAATGTCAAAAATCACAATGATGGTTTAAAAAAAGTAAAATGAAAAAAAAAAAGCATTTCTCTGTATTTTGTAACAGATTCCAAAAGCAACTGAAAAAATATATATCAGTGGTGGTAGTAAAAGGATTAATCTTGAGTTTGTGGCTTTGTTTTTGGAAGATCATCTCTTTTTGATTTAACAAAACTGAGCCACCTAATTTGATGTCAGATTGAGAAGAAACATAAAAAAGCATATCTTATTTTCACATCATCACTCCATTTTCTTATTTACAGAAATGTCTTATAAGGATTTTGTAATTTATTTTTGCTCTTGTGCTGTTGTCCTTCAATATTTTATATTTATACTATATTTTAATAGCAATCCGATAGGATAGGGCATGGCCTTTGGTGTCAAGACTCTAGGTCAGCTAATTGACAAGCTTTCAACATATTGATGAAACTTGTGGTCTGGTGTTTTTCCTCAAATAGAAATGCACAAATGATCTTTTCATAAATCAAATATGTAGAGACTAATTATGCGGTTTCTAGGATGTTAATTTGGCTCTTGGATCCAAAGCTGATAAGTGAAAGTGTTCATTCACAGTGTTCATCTCCTTAAAAATAAAATTTGTTGTGCTTCAAGACAACAACAACAACAACAAATGGTCTCATTTAACATCATCAAGGAACTGAAGAAACAAAAAAAAATTATCTTAATCTACGAGTTACTCATTCCAGTCCACGTCATGGTGAGAAAACCGTGACAATCAGAACCATTGTGCCATGGAAAGCTGAGGTTTTTCAGTTTTCTGCGGTGGCTCTCAAGTCCCATATGAAACCCATCACTCCATGAAGTCCCCTTAAAGCCATATAACAACACAGAAATTCATTAAATCTTTGCCTCATTTTGAATGCACTATTTGTGGCTTTTCCATTCCCGTAATGGGCTCATATGCACACATGCAAACGAGAGGAGCGTTTGGACGGAGAGACAGACTGGGTGGGGAGGAAAGAGAGAGGGAAGACTGACTGTATCACTCAAGATAAAAGCGATGGAAAGCCCACATGAACGGGGTCTGAGTTTGTCTCACAGAAGACAATGCTGTTGGAACAACATGCATGGGAGGGCACAGCTGCATCTATGAAGTGTCTCCAACATAGAGATCGCCAATATCTGACTGCAAAGACTCAGCGATTGACAACACACGACTCCCATCCATCTGCCAAAATCGCCTTGAATTTGTGCTTACTTCTCTGTCCAAGACATGTGGAAGCAGGCAGAGTATCACAATGCACAAAATGTTGTCAGTCAGATACGCTAATCTGAAACCATGTGTCCTTGGCAAGAGTATGTTTTTGTTTCTCATTATGGGATCCTGACTCGTCTACAAAATGATTAACAATTTACTGATCTGGCATTTGAATATGTTTTTTATATTGATTATGGCTGAAATACAAGCATGCAGAGGTTATGAGTGCCTGAAAGGGAGAGTCGATAAAGTAATAAGAAAATATTGAGTAATTGGTGCTATACTAAGATTAAAATAAAGATCCAGTGAAACATTTATGTACATGTATGGTAGAAATATGATCCTGTTGACCTGAGAGCTGCAGATGAAGCGGGGAACTTCAACAAGATAAAATGTGTGGGTTGCTTTTCAGCTCCTGTCATACACAGCGCCTTGTACCGATTAACAATGAAAGTGGGAAAGTGTGTGTGCATGTGTGTGTGCAGCTTCCAGATGTGACAACAAGTTGACCTTCTCCTCACTGACAGTCAGGTGAGGAGACCTTGCTTGTTCCACATGGATGAGTTCTTGCTGTCACTAACACACACACCCACACCATAGGCTGGATATAAAAAGACACACACAAACACAGCGCTGCACTCCACAACTTTCTGCAGCTTCTTTGTGGGTCACTGCAGGGGGATGACAGCAAACTGATTATCCCCGATTTCTGAGATTCCGTGACAACAGGGGCATCATATTTCAGCAATTTTCACCCAGGATCACGTTCTATTGTTGTGTTAATCCTTCCAACTCGTCACCACCTCCAGTTTCAACTGGAGTTTACTTCTATCCAAAGTAGAAAAAAATAGCCTATTAAAAATCAGTAAAATATTTTTAGAAGCTCTACCCATCAGAACTTGTTTAACTGGGCCACCTGGCCTGCAGTTACGTCTGCCCACCTATCAAATCTATAGAAATGCCACAGAAAAATCAACATTCAACTTCATGATTACTAAGCTGATTAGTTTTTGTGTACAGAATTATATAGTCTTTCTTTTGCTGTTTTGCTTTTGGAGATGTTGTGATTAGAAATGAAACAAATACATGATTACCTTAGTAGTTAGATTAGTCAATCGACAGAAAATTAACTACATAAAACAAACTGCAAAAAGCAACTATTCATGGTTCAGTCATTTTTTAAAGCAATAATGCCAAACATTTGCTGGTTTCAGTTTCTCAAAAGTAAGGATTAGTTGCTTTTCTTTGTTATATATATGATAGTAAACTGAATGTCTTTGGTTTTTATGTTGTTAATAGAACAAAACAAGCAATTTGAATGCATCACCTTGGCCTCAAATTATAATGGGCATCTCATGAAAAAAAGATGAATAGATTTAATAAATAAAAAATAATCTGAAAATAATCATTAGTTGCGGCCCTTATTAGGACTAACTATGATCTAACTTTTACATGTTGGTGTTGCTGCCGTGTTACAGCACTAACAAAAATAGAGCATTAAAGCGCAACAGCTTTACAGCACCGGTCAGGCTAATTAAAACACACAGAAACACACATAAAACATGCCCTGGAAACACCAGGTCTGCCACAGGTATTTCTACATAAAGACATCCTCTGCACTGAAGGAAGAGTAACGGAGAGGTGAAGCTAGACGACAGGGGGAAAGAGTGAGAGAAAGTGGTGAGAAGGCTGAAGAAAAGGAGAGAGAAGGATGTGGGAAGAAAGACAAATATGTTATAGAGAGACGGCAGAGGAGGGGAGGTGTTATCCTGGATGTGTATGTCGTGCATGTGTGTGTTCATGAGGAAAATAGCAGAGGAAGCTTAGCAGCAAGATAAAATTATCAGCGGTGAAAGTGTTTCCATGTGTCCTTATGTTCTCAGTTAAAACACAACTAAGGGGGTTAAAAAACAAAAGTCAAGAGATTATTAAATTACATTTTAAAGATTCAACACCATTTTTATCAGTGCTGTTCTTCCTGTCAAACCGCACCCTCTCCTTTAATCCTCACAGGTCCCAAATAGTGTTCTGACTAGGGTGAGGAGACTGAGCTAAACCGGGACCTTCTCCAGGAGCTTGTAGAACATCTGGAGATGATCAGGGCCAGCTTCATCCAGACCTAAATCCTCCTTTTTTAGGGCCTTAAATACACCCAAATGATTGCTCTGGTCAGCCTGGTCACCCCCAAATCAGCTGCTGCCACTGTGATAGTAGCCGATGATATGTGCCTCCATCTAAAGCAACATCAGTGTGATGTGCTGTCAAGACCTGCTATGAAGGAATTGTATTCAGCAGGTTTATATCCTTTAGATGTGGAAAACATTTAGAGTAATCACTGCCTGTGATGTTTTCAGGACCCACACACACAACCAAGTGGGAGTGTTAATACAGTCATGTCATGTTGAAGTGTATAAATGTTGTTTAGATGACTGTCAAGATGATGAAGTGCTCCACAGAGACCCCACTAGCCTTTTGATCTACAGTGCAGCATGCAGGGAGAATATTGGTTTATGGTGATCTGAATATATATCAGCCAGCCATGTATATGACATTCAGACTATTGACAGGAGACATCAGCACTTCTTCACAGGTGACTACCTGTCAGCAGGGACACTGCTGCTCATCTGACCCTTGAGCCTGCCATACATCATCCTGCACTGTCTTAGATGGCATCCCAAGCTTTTTTGTAAAGATTTTAAATCTGGTCATGTTCCTGTTGGGACTCCAACTGTCCAATAGTTTATTTATAGTAAATACAGTAGCGTTTATAACAGATTAAAGCTCTTATTTAGACTCTATTGGTCTATTTTTCAGACCTTTAACTTGGTTACATTTCATGAGAGGTGTCCAAAAGTCCTTGCAAATCCCTTTCAGTTTATTTTTTGCTGCCCTAAAAGGCAGCCTAAACTTGCGTGCGCATGTGTGTTCCCTACCTGTACCACTCCAGTCCTTTATCGTAAAACCTGTCGAAGAAGTGAGGCTCCGCGCCGACCGCTCTCACGTCCGGGTGGATGCGGAGAAACTCCAGCAGGGCGCGGGTTCCTCCTTTCTTCACGCCGATTATTATCGCCTGCGGAAACCGTTTTGTCCCGAAAGTGTTGGACACGGGGATGCTGTTGCTCTGGGCGCTCTCCTTTGCACTGTCCGACACGTGTTGTTGAGGCAGCTGTCCCGGAGTGTCCACCTGTTCTGCGTCCGCGGACGCTGTGCGGTTCCGGTGAGGGGGCGCGTCGGGAAGAAGACGCGGCGATGGTCGCAGGTCGTGCAGAACGCGGCGATGATCGTCCAAAATGTCATAGTCTAAAGCTTGTTGGCTGTATAAATTTCTCGGAGCCGAATCGCAAAACCCGGTGAGGCAGTAGAAGAAGTAGGTGAAGATCAGGACCATGGTAAAAAACACCGAGACCTTGCCAGTGTTGAACCTGCCTCTGCATCCACTACATCCCATGAGTTGATCTCCTGCTCGATGCCAAAGGGCCAAAACGGGGACAGCATGCTTCTTCTTCTTCTTCCTACATTGATCAAAGCTGATCCTGTTAAATTTGTCTCGCAGAACCTGTTGCGCAAATGTAGTGCATCACATGGAGAGCTTCTGGCAGCAGTGGAATGGCACAGTGGAGTTGTCAAAAATAATCCTCATAGCCTAATCTTTGTCTCTTGTTTTTTTTTCTTCAGAAAAGACAAAAATGATTCCTTGTCAGTTCAAAAAGTTTTGTCATTTAACATGACTCGTTTATTTGCGGTTAGATGACATTTCCAGCGTGCTGTATCTGTGCGCTCTGAGGTCTACTAATCTCATTGAAGGTTTCTTCTCTGCTTTTCCTACGCCTTTTTTTTAACACAAGTCTCCACCCCTCCCTCCTCAAACTATAGATAAACATACCTTCATATAGGGGCTCGGAGAGTGCCCTGTGTGTATTTCTCTATGGAAACAAATATGTTTTGATTTATAACATAACGTTATGCATTATTAACACACTAGACTATCTGCTTGCATAAAACCCAGTGGGAAAACGTTTCATTGGGATCTTCCTGTGACTTGAATATGCCTAAACTTATTTAAATGAGTTTAGCAGCCTTCTAATTTGCTTTTTCTCTAAATTTTTTGAAAACCAGTCTTAATACTTTATTGTGTGCTACAGGCACATCAGTATTTTACAAATGTAAGCCCCACAGAAGAAAATCCTTGTCCCTTTGAACCCATGTGATAGATGTCTCAGTCAGCCCTGTGAATAAGAGAAGCCCCGAGGATGTCTATTCAAAACCTCTTGTACTCTCCTTGCACTCTGAGACTCAGCACTGAACTAACACACAGCCGACACAGTGACAAGTCTGCCAATACAAACCTCCAGAACAATAGGCCTGAAGCGAGGAGGGCCCCTGCGACTGCTCTGTCACATAAATACAGTATCTGAGACTGAGTGTCACCTTTTGGGGGCTGTACAGGAAGGATCCGCACCGGCATATTCCCCTGACTCTGTTAAGCTGGCGCAGGTGTAGGGTTTCTTCTGGCAAAGAGATGGAGTTCAGGCTCTGAACCTGACTAATACACTAAGCTGCTGGTTGAAACGATGACGGGATGGAAAGAGAGCGAGGAGAGGTAAAGGGGAACTGAGGTAGATAATCTGTCTGAGAAAGAGAACCACACACACTTACACACTCAGCCCTGGGACACAGTATGTTTCTGGTAGAGATAATAAATTAAAGTGGCAAGCTCACTGTGTTGTTTTATATTTGATCTTTATTCAGCTCTCTTCCTCTATATCCTCAGGTTAATAGTTTAAAAAAAGATAGATTGATGGCACTTTCTGTCTGGTAAACCTATACCTCCAGCCGCCAGCTAACTTAGCTTAGCACAAAGATGACACAGGAGGGGGAAACAGCTACAGCCCAGCATCTCTAAACCTCACTAATTAGCACCCCTTTTTAGTTCGTACAAAATGCAAAGTGTAAAATTGACAGTTACTCAGGGTTTTGTGCTGGACTAGCCTATTTCTTGGCAACCAGCAGATACTCTCGGAAGTTACTGGTCCCAACCAAGAAATAGTTTGGCACACAAAGAATGAGTTATTGCCATACTTCACTTTCTTGCCAAGAGATAGAGAAGATCAATACCACTCTCATATTTGCTGGGTAGCTTAGCTTTAGCATAGCACAAAGACTGGAAACAGGGAAACAGCTAACGCTAAACTAGATGTTGCTGTCATCTTGAATAATTAGGGGAGAGCGGGGTGAGTTGAGCCAGTTTTTACTAGAGAGGTCTTTAAAGTCAGGGCGTGACAGTAATGTCTCCAGCTAAAATATGTATTTCAGGATGTGGTGCATCCCTGGGAATAATGACTTTGGATCTAAAACAAACTGTTTTCAAAATATGACTCTTGGTCTCTTAGCTCAACTTGCCCCCGATGAGAGGTAAGTTGAGCCACAGGGGGGTCAAGGACATCAAAATAATTTTGTCGTGCCAACTCAAATGCCAGTTCACAGCATTTCATTGCACTTATATCGTGAAACATTGCAGCTTTATTTTCATTATTATTTATGGTTTATTTTATTAGGGACTGATACATCTAACATAGATAAACTGAAAACAGCAATCCGATGTGTGTACCATAGTGTTTTTAGCAGTTGATAATTTGCAACACCTGTCCCCAGAAGGGCTATTAAAGTAAATTTTGAGTAAATCAAAATGCAATGAAAAAATATGTAACACTAACTACAGTAGACTAGACGTGAGTACAAGTTTGTTGCTAAACCAACCAGAACTTTGCCTCTCTTTTAAAAGTGGTGAAGTTTGCAGCAGTTTTCAAGTGTTTAGGTAGCAAGTTCCAAGACTTTGCTCCTTTCACAGAAAAGGCCGTCTGAGCAAAAGACGTTTTGCAAAATGAAACTTTACAATGGCCACTTGAAGCTGCTCTGGTGGATCTGCTGCTACTCTGAAGACTCTTAATGTACTTATAGAGAGGCTGAGGAGCAAGTTCATTTAAACATTTAAATACAAGCTTTACATAATGAAAATCAATAAAGTTTGCAAAAAATCTTGTATTTGTTTAAAATGTGAAAGTGATGGTACCTGACTTACTTTTTGTCCAAAGTTTTCAAGGCTTGATTGTAAAGACACTCCATAGATTTAATCACAGACGATTGGCCTGGGACCAGGTAGTTAAATCATAGGACAGATGAGAAAGTATCATTGATGTGTCTCCCAGTTGTTTCGTATCAATATATATGTATTGCTAAAGTCATCCTGTTGATTGTCATGTCCCTTGCCACCTGATGAATGGACTTCCCATTCTGTACCTCTCCCACTGCTCTGTCCAAATTCCACAAGAGGAGTTGAAGCCCTTTTTGTCATCCATTGCATGATGATTTCTGGCCTAAAATTCATGTCACATTATTTTAGTGATAAGATGTAAGAATGCAATGTCGATGACAACATATACCTCAGTTGAATAAACATGGTGGAACCAAAAAGATGGAAAATAGCAAGTAAATGCGCAAAATGTCATATATGACCCACAGTCAGAAACATTTGGCAACCCCTGGTTGAGACAGATCCATGCTAGCTATTACCTTTGTTTAAACTTAGTCTTTGCACTTAGCTAAATTAGCAGGCTGTTGACTGCAGCTTAGCACACAGTGGTATCAATCTTCCTATCAACTTCTGGACAAGAAAGCTAATAAGCATATGTCCCAAAATGTCAAATTTTTCCTTTAAGGAATATATAAACTTTTCAAAGTTAAGCATTACAAAGCCTGTGATTACAATTTCCATCTTTTGAGATGTAAAACCAGTTTGAACAACAAGTGCTCAAACAAAGGTCTGTGGATACTGACATGGCCCAGGCAAATATAGAATAATGATATGTTTTGAAGCACAAAAAGCCATTGTAAATCCATCCAAAGAGAGGCCAGACTGGCACTGAGGAATTCACAGCTTTGGAAATGACTGTCTGCTGGCTAGCGGCAGATTCAGTCAGAATGAGGTCAGGATCCAGGCTTTGCTTTCATCAGACATTTTATTTGCTTTTCCCTCGCGCTAATTGCTCTAGTTGGAGTTATACTGACAGGTTTGGACCCAGAAATATAAACAGTGAGATTAAAGAAGCAAACAGGCAGCAGCAGTGTTGAGGAAACAAATACAGCATGCAAGTTGTGAACTGCGCCTGTATGTATAGGATTGAGATCAGATAGTACGTCTTTCTGTTGATATGTTTGTGTGCATACGTTTCTAGACCTTTGTGTACATTCACATTCATGTGTAGGTGTTTATGCATGCAGTTGTACAGTCCAACTGTCGTGCCTGCAGGTGTGTGCTGCTGCATCCCAGTGTGTACCACTGATAGAGATTTCCATAGCCGGGGGCTGACTGATGGCGTGTACATGTGCCAGCCATTACAGCAAATTACAAATCTTCCTCAGCAAAAGCTAAATTATTCACTCTCATTTTGTAATTTCCAGTATGAGGAAGAAGCCGTTGGCCATTTACAAAAGCCACAAGATACCCGGCAGAATCCTTAGTCATGACAGATCTTTGTGACCACCGCCTAGGAGCTGCTCATGTAGCGGTGTAGTGGCATGGCTATAGTTTCCTAGAAAGGGAAGCTGATGCCTTTTATTCTGTCTGGAATGAATATCAAAATATCAGTCTCTTTAAGATTAAAGATATCAGAGGATTTGGCTTTTATGAAATTATTTTTGATCTGGTTTTCCTATGCGTTTTCTATGTGGTTATTAGACTAAAGGGGATGTACCAAAACAATTAAGTTTAACTCTCATTGTGGTGTTTGAAGTGCAGCTCCTTTGAAGAAAAAAGATGTCACACACACTCTCTGCTATATGTTAGATGCATAACGGCCGAGCCCTCAGGTAGCAAGGATCACTGAATACAAAAGCCAACAACAAAGCGACTGCAAAGCCCCACCCTTCTCCTGGAGCCTTCCCAACTTTCATCTGCAAAAACGCAAGCAAGAATGATGGATGAACGAAGAGAAAATCACTCTGATCCCATCCACACACAATGTTCTCCCCCCACATCTTCCTCTTCTCCTCCCACCCTCCATCCCCCGTGTCCCACCGCCTTCACACAGGTGCATCGATCTTTTTCGCCAACAGGAGAACTTGCAGACTCCCAGACTTTGCCCTGCAGCTTTATAGAGACATCACTGAAAGGATGAATGTACTAAAGATCTGAGAGGAGAGATGTCTGGAGCTTACGCAACAGCCTCGCAGGCCTTGAAAGCATTAAACAGTGTTGGACCCACATAATGCATCGAGTTCAGCATGGGAGTAATTTATATCGGAGGAAGAGTTCATGCAATTCATTCCAACTTCATGAGGGTTCAATTTGGGCAGCACCCAAAGCCAGGAGGTACAATAACATAACTGATATACATGTATGGCAGTATGAGCCCAAAGATATTTTTAACATAAACAAAAATGTATGCAAGCCTCCCTCAACCGCTAAAAACCAGCTGCACGGAACTATTTTCAATGTGTCTTTCATCTTGGCAATACACACTAAGATACCTTTCCAAAGAGCAAGTCTGCACAGGAGTCTAAAACTGTTATTTACCTTTTCTGGGTGCTTTATTGTAGCAGTAGAATCAAGCGAGCAGTAGAATCAAGCGAGCGGGAATCTAAAGCGTAGGGAGGGAATTAAACTGACTGACAATCATGTCATCACACGAGCCGCAGACCATTTGGGAAATGCCTTCTTTTCTAATCCACAGCTCTGTGGCGAAAAGTGGGATCTGGCGGTTGGCTCCTAAGTGATATTGGGTGTGTTGGGAAGGGTGGAGGCGCAGGGAAAGAGTGGGATATGAGGGGAAGCCTGTGTGTGCCTGTATGCATTTGTGTGTGCATGACAGAAGTGTGAGTGACTGTGAGAGAAACTGAGTGAAAAGAGGTTAAAAAAGAGAGACATGATTAGTTTTGTACAGAGTTTCATGCATCCCAGCTCACTTAGACATGTGGCTGCAAATCTGACAGAACTGTGAAGGTGAACCATTTTGGTCTGATTGTTTATGTGAAGTATGTGGATATGCGTGCAGAGACTTTTATGCCTTTAGGGTCTTATGCATGTATCCATGTGCCCATTGTTCCAGTCTGCGTGCACATGTACCACTTGTGGTACCCAATCCCAGACTGTTACTTACTGAAATGCTTGTGGGCTGCTCTCTGTGGCTTTCCTTCATTGGAAGGCCTTGTCGTCTTAAACGCTGATTGCCATGACGTCAGCTCCAAACCACAGCCCTGCCTTTTATGTGTCACTGTCACCATCTATTTCCGCACAGTGTGTGAAAAACAACTTTCTTTCCATCTTTGCAATTCACTGACATGGACGGTTGGATCGAAGACTGTGCTACTGTTACTGGGCCAGAACCACCACCCAAATGGATGTGCTCATTAATTGTTGCACTCACTCAGCTTAGCCAAAACAATTGGGAGGGCTAAAGATGTGTGTGAATGGCAACCGGGTGAATGTCTCATTATTTAACCGGCAGCTCTGTGTTTTATTTATGTAAACAAGTCAAACCTGGACGATCTCTGTAAATAAAAACACAGTCATCAGATGGGTGTTAACTGGCTGTAATTACTG